CCTTTAAAGAATATCTACACGGCCGGGCCGAAGCATCAAAGAATAATTATGGCATCGATTTCGCTCCAAAACAAAATTCCTAGCCGGGATATCAGATCAAATAATCACAAGAAGTCAAATAATAAGTACGGAATTAAAGTAGAAGAGAAATCAAGGGCGGAGAAGGCTCTCAAAATTAACCAAACACAACACCCATGGGAAGCGAGCAACACGGCCGCCTTTGTCTTTCCGAGAGGATCACGACACACAGGCACCAAGCCAGGAAATGACACCCATAAAAGTTGGGGCAAGGGCTCAAAGGAAATTAACACACGCCTTCGAATAAATAAGCATACGCCGGGTGCTCCCACCGTGGAAACAACCGCCTTTGTCTTCCCACAACACGGACAGCAAAAATTGCACAAGCCAGGAAATGACATTTCCATGGGAGATCGGGTCACGATGAAACATCGTGAACACGGTTTCGGCATAACCAAGCAGCAAATAAGTCGCATTTCAACTTCCAAACCAAACCAACTTAAGCTGTGTGAGACAAAGGATGTGATCCCAGAGCAAGGGAGTGAATAGTTAAGCTCGCTAAACGCGTAGGTTTTCGCGACAAATATTATTCAGTAACAAAACATGGATTCGAATGTTTTTTTTTAACTCAACGCGAATCATCGGTCTGGCTAATGGATAACTTCTGAAGCAGCCGACACGAGGCCCCCACCCCCTTTCTTCCAGAACGACACACACAGCTGTGTCTTCAAAGCTAATAAACACACGGACAAACACGCACGCGAAAAACACGGACGGACACACACACGGACGCAGATGGTCCACCCCCACAGGAAGGTTTTATGACACAGCTTTTGAACAACTCGGGAAGCCGAGTGGAATTTTCCGATATAAACCGAAGGAAAATCCATACAACTCAGTTCGTCAGGGGCTCTGGCCCCCATCAGAGATATCATCCGGGCTACGAGCCCATCTTCGGCTCCACCACAGATCTTCACGAGCTCCGGCCTACATCTCATCTCGTCTCCGGGCTAAGGCCCCACCAGAGTTCTCCAGGGCGACAACCATCTCTCCTCGTCGCCACCAACGAAGAAGCTCCTGTCATTCAGAATGACGAGGGTCGCGGAGTAGCGACGCGTAGCTACAAGCCGAGGTCTGCACCACCTGAGAAGAATCGCTACCCTGAGTCGCAGAGCTGCGAGTGAAGCCAACAAAGACGCCAACGTCCACCCTGCCACGAACGAAGCATCGCTCCTCGTCAGAGTGACGACCAGCGAACAACCCGCAGGAAAGGCGGAGATCGCTGAACGAGCGCCAACTTGCGCCTCCGTGCGCCACCGCGCGCCACCGAGCAACAACGAGCGACACCTTGCGCCACCGTGCGACACCGAGCGACAACGAGCGACACCCAGATCGACCAGCATCAACCCAAACCGACTCGTCATCCCGCCGTGGAGAAAAAGAGTCAAAGTCTTCTGAACGAGCGCCGCCGCTCACCTCACAGCGGAGAAAGTCTCAGCTGCCGCTCGCACAAACAACAGACTCAAGAAAACACAGAGAAAATCTTGTCAAACCAGTTTCCTTTGTCCCAGAATCTCGCCGAAGAATTAATTAAAACAGAGCCAGATTCGCTCTCACGCCCACACGCCCTCACCCACCATTGTATCAAACATTCCATTAAAAAGGATTTTAGACTTGCCGATGAATCTATTGACATATACTTTCGCCTCTGGGATACAATAAGTGCTTTTTATTACCGCCATATGAAGTGTGTCATGCTTGTTTTCAAACTCGACCAGTCGCCGATTGTGATCAATACATGGGCGAACTAATGATGCCTGGTAGGAAAAGTAGAGGTTACAATTGATAGAAGTGTTTTTAGTCATTCAGTTCGTTAAATGCATAAGTGTTTATTCATTCATTTTAGTCAAATGCATAATCTCGTAATTGCATAAGAGTTTTGGTTATTCATATTAGTTAATGCATAATATCGCAAATGCATAAGAATTTTTAGTCATTCAGTTCGTTAAATGCATAAGTGTTTATTCATTCATTTTAGTCAAATGCATAATCTCGTAATTGCATAAGAGTTTTGGTTATTCATATTAGTTAATGCATAATATCGCAAATGCATAAGAATTTTTAGTTATTCAATTTAGCTAAATGCATAAGTGTTTATTCATTCATTTTAGTCAAATGCATAAGAGTTTCGTTATTCATATTGCATAATTGCATAATTTCACAACTGCATAAGTTTTTGTCGTTCATATTAGTTAATTGCATAATCTTGCCCATGAATTATTGACGCATGTTTGACCTGCATGAGAGAATGTCGCGTGCTTGTTAGAATAAAATTATCACAGAAGCATATTGAGTGTTCTTTCCAAGTCCATGCAAAACCATCTTATTCATAAGAGCTGTATCCTGCGATGAGATATGAAAATGGAGACCTAAAATATTATAACACACACTAGGATAATCGGTAAATGAATCTATGATAATCGTGTTATCCTGATTGATAACTCTGGATAAACGAAACTAAGCAAATTATCATAACTGCACACATTAACATAATCGCAAGCCTCCGCATAAATTACTACGATTATCATAATTTATGCATATAATCACACGCATTATCATAATTTATGCATATTAATACACACATTAACATAATTAATGCGATTTGCGCATTTTTCGGAAAATTATTAATTTTTATTATTTTCATCAAAATTTCATAACCTGACACATACAACACTCCCTCGTCCCCCCCCCCCCTCACCGTTCTCGCGAGCTTCTCCTCTGGAAGAAGACTTGCAATGGTGTGCTCCTGTTCCAGCCGTCAGAATTGCGCACGCTCGCGAGCAAATCTCTCACACACGTGCGCGTGCTCGGCAAGGGTGTTAGATGGGGGATATGGGCAGTTCGCATCTGGCTGCCACCACGTTGTGCTTGTCAGATACTGCTGAACTTTCTCGGCGGCGAGGTCATCGATGATCTCGGCAGTGTATCCCAGGCGTACGCTCTGTGTTAGCAAGCGTGATTTATTTTAGTGTCCGCTCACTGAGATCTGAAGTGAGAAGTTCACATCGTGGTTATTGTTGTCGTGGTGGTAGTTGTTTACCCAGGTAGAGCCTCGCTCCTTCTTTGTCTTGTAGGGAGGCCGCTTTGGATTGCACCACTCTTCGATTTCACATTAACATGCTAATTTATTACATTAACATCACTAGCCCCGGCCACTTCCTTATGACCCTTGGGCTACACCCATTTCAAACCTTTTACAACAGTCTGCCTCAGCAGCAGACCATGCATTTTCTAGCAGAGTGTTTTTGTTTGCTTTCTGACCACAAGTATTGTGGTTAATGCACACATGATTCCTTATTTGGAATACAGTACAGTACTTATTTCAATTGTGATGTTTATTTTAGTTGCCGTTAACCTAACCCCATTATTTAGGTAATGCTTAAGTATAATGATGTATTTTGAGAAGCTCACAATGGCCCTATACAAAATTGCATTTCATGCAGTAACAATGATACGCTAATCGATGCCTGGTTATAGTCAAGGGATCGTCCCCTGCTGGTCAACCATGTTACGCATGTTGATGATCTGGTCATGGCTACTCAATGATATTGAGTTGGAGAATCGTGTTCTATACCTGGAGAATTCCATGACGAAATGGGGCCTTGCATATGTTCTACAAAAAGATCACCTCCCTGGGAAAATCTTGACTTAAAGCTTTCGTAACTGCAGGAATTCATATTCTTTGGGTCTTTCGGTTAAGTGACGTGACTTTACCGAAAGACCCAAAGAATACCTCCCTGGGAATTTAATGTCATACAACACTGCACCTGCTCAGCTCTCCATGAATAATCAGGTCGTTTTACACGTGGTGAAGGAGCGCCTATACCAGGTTAATGTGTTCATGACCTTATTTGGCATCCAAAGTGTCACTTCAAATTAGTCTAGCAGCATTCTTTCATTAGGCTCTGTAGCACTATGTGGAAGCTGCCTGGACTTTTTTACATACAAAGCTGTGAGTGTCCATCGCCAAGGTCTAGTCCATTGCAAAGGTCTTGTCTATAAAACAGGCAATAGTCTACATTATAGACTGCCAATACACTCACCGAGGTTAAGAACCAGGCTACATTCTACATTATAGACTGTCAGTATGCTCACCGAGGTTAAGAACCAGGCTACAGTCTACATTAGTCGTTTTTTTTCTTCTATTCAATTTATTTGTATTATTATTTTATATCTACGTGACTTTACCGAAATAACCAAAGAATATGAATGCCCGCTATCACAAAAGTTTTAAGTCAAGATTTTCCCAGGGAGGTGATCTTTTTGTAGAACATATGCAAGGTCCCATTTCGTCATGGAATTCAACAGGTACAGAACAAGATTTTATAAGAATGGAAACAGTCAGGAAATTAACAATGCACATATGCAGCTTAAGTTAGATCTGTTCATCCTCGCATTCAAGCTCATCTGAGCCTGGCTTCAGACCTTTAAGTTGCAAATGAACATTAATTTATACATTTCTGCATAATACAAATAGTATCAACAGCCTTTGCTATGTTAGCTAATTTTTCTTAAATAAATATTCCTGTCATAGCTAGACAACCGAAATTGTGTGCTTGGAGTTTTTGGTAAATATTAATTTTGAAGACACTTGGGTGTCCAGTCATATTTATGACCATTTGCCCTCTCATTGTGTGCCTTAGCAGCTCGTGTGATGAATTAGGGAATCTCTTTCACTATTTCATGAAAATATGAATATATATAGATGTGTAAGTCATGTGTGACTGTATATATGCATTCCTCTGTGCCTCAATACTCACGGAGATGGTGTGGATATGTTTTTCTGTCTGCAGCTGATGCTCGCTCTGCAGAGTTGGTCTGATGGAGCAAAGGCACTCAGCGCAGCTCGGTACAAGAAGGAAACAATGCGACCAGAATGCAAACAGCATGGATCGTACTGGAAACTTGACACAGCACCAGAGAACACACACAGGAGAGAAACCTTTTAAGTGCAGTGTGTGTAAAAAGGTGTTTGCACGGTCATCCATTCTTAAATCACACCAGAGAACACACACAGGAGAGAAACCTTTTAAGTGCACTCTGTGTGAGAAGGCATTTGCAATGTCATCAAATCTTAAGATCCACCAGAGAACACACACAGGAGAGAAACCTTTTAAGTGCACTCTGTGTGGGAAGGCGTTTGCACAGTCATCAACTCTTCAGACCCACCAGAGAACACACACAGGAGAGAAACCTTTTAAGTGCAGTGTGTGTAAAAAGGTGTTTGCACGGTCATCCATTCTTAAATCACACCAGAGAACACACACAGGAGAGAAACCTTTTAAGTGCACTCTGTGTGAGAAGGCATTTGCAATGTCATCAAATCTTAAGATCCACCAGAGAACACACACAGGAGAGAAACCTTTTAAGTGCACTCTGTGTGGGAAGGCGTTTGCAATGTCATCAAATCTTAAGACCCACCAGAGAACACACACAGGAGATAAGCCCTTCAAGTGCAGTGTGTGTGGGAAGGCATTTTTTTATTCATCTACTCTTAAACAACACCAGAGAACACACACAGGAAAGAAACCTTTCAAGTGCACTGTGTGTGAGAAGGCGTTTGCACAGTCACCACATCTTCAAAGACACCAGAGAACACACACAGGAGAGAAACCCTTCAAGTGCACTGTGTGTGGGAAGGCGTTTACACAGTCATCACATCTTAAAAGACACCAGAGAACACACACAGGAGAGAAACCCTTCAAGTGCACTGTGTGTGAGAAGGCATTTTCATGGTCATCATATCTTCAGACCCACCAGAGAACACACACAGGAGATAAGCCCTTCAAGTGCAGTGTGTGTGGGAAGGCATTTTTTTTTCATCTACTCTTAAACAACACCAGAGAACACACACAGGAGAGATGCCTTTCAAGTGCAGTGTGTGTGGGAAGGCATTTTTTAATTCATCTACTCTTAAACAACACCAAAGAACACACACAGGAGAGATGCCCTTCAAGTGCAGTGTGTGTGAGAAGGCATTTTCAGATTCATCTACTCTTAGAAGACATCAGAGAACACACACAGGAGAGAAACTCTGCAAGTGCAGTGTGTGTGAGAAGGCATTTTCAGATTCATCTTCTCTTAAACAACACCAGAGAACACACACAGGAGAGAAACCTTTTAAGTGCACTCTGTGTGGGAAGGCATTTGCAAAGTCATCAAATCTTCAGACCCATCAGATAATACACACAGGAGATCAACCCTTCAAGTGCAGTGTGTGTGGGAAGGCATTTTTGTATTCATCCACTCTTAAACAACACCAGAGAACACACACGGGAGAGCAACCTTTTAAGTGCACTCTGTGTGGGAAGGCGTTTGCAAAGTCATCAAATCTTCAGACCCATCAGAGAATACACACAGGAGATAAACCCTTCAAGTGCCGTGTGTGTGGGAAGGTATTTTCAGATTCATCTACTCTTAAACAACACCAGAGAACACACACAGGAAAGAAACCTTTCAAGTGCACTGTGTGTGAGAAGGTGTTTTCAAAGTCATCAAATCTTAAAAAACACCAGAGAACACACACACATCAGAAAATCCACAAGAAGTGTAATCTGAAATCAGCTTGTGAAAGTCAAAGTGCTGCAATGACCCCATTGTTCATGAAACAAGAACCAGAAGACAACCCCAGCCTGGACACTTTGAAAGGTATCAAGGTAAAATATGAAGAGGCGAAGGTGAAATGTGAAGAAGTAACAGTGAAGAGCGTAGAAGTGAAGGTTAAATTTGAAGATTCAACTCCAAAATCGGACCTTCACATAGATGGAGGCAGTGTGAAGCAGGAACTAAATTCTGGCTGTGAGGCAGAGCGAGGCAACTTCCAGGAGTTTGTGGATGTGGAGGTGTGGGTGGACTTCTTAGACAATACAAAGTCAAATGGAGACCAGGTAGATGTGCAAGCTTAAGACAATTAAGCACCAATGGATGCATCTTTGTCACATGCCTTTCTAATGAATATAATATGAAGTTGAACACTCAATTTCTCGGTTCAAACTGCAGTGTAAGAATGGCCAGTATTTGTGAACCTGTGGGTTGGGGCGATCTCTAACCAGGAGTGACTCAAGTGTTTTGTATCATATCTCATCTTAGACACTCGATGGGTGCCCATAATGGGCATCTGTCCCTGTGTGCCACAAGGTGACCGTTCACTGGCCTGCATGTGGATAGGATTTTGTAAGTCGGGGGCGATGATTGATATGCCAGTCGTATTTGAACCTTGAACCTCTGCAACAAATAGAGAATGTACTACTACTTGGCTTCCCTCTATAAGAGTGCTGCACATATAGGCCTAATCTCGTCAGAGATCAACTTGTAAATACATTGTAACGTGATGCAGTACATTTCATTTTTTGATTATTTTAAATCATAATTGAAAGAAACTTGTCTGTTTTTGTACGTACATGCAACATTTTGTGTATTAATGTCAAACATGGAATATGTGATGTCCGGACAAAGTATCTGTTTTGGTGGTAACCTGTACAAAAACTCACGTGAGAGCTGTTATTTTTGTGATAGGGGTCAAATGGTATTTTTGTGAATCAGGACGCATCTGACTCTGGGGCAACTCATTGTCTTTGAAATCGGAAGCATAGTCGGATCATTCATCTAACATTTAAGACAAATTTTTTGTCTGTCTGTCTCTCTGTCCGTCCGTCTGTCCGTCTGCATACGCTCGCGGGGGATATGGCTCTCGGACCGTGGGGTTTGTCGAGACAGTTTTTTTGCCGGGAGGCACGCCCCGAGCCCCGCGGTGGGAATAGGCATTTCTGTTTTTCGTCCCTAAACTTTAAAGCGATTTAATGATCGATTTAGTGCGATTTATCTTTATTTATTTATTTAGCACGCCGTTGCGCGAGACGCTGACCGAGGGTTGCCCTTGGCAACGGGCAGCGCGCCGTCACTGCAGGGTGGACGCCATTTCTCACTCGCGTTAAAAATATGCGCACACATTTACACGCCACGCTGAGGTAAATACATCAAAGTTTCACGTCCTCGTCTCTCCCCCCACCCCAATGTGTGCAATTACTATTATAGGGTCGGTAGATAATATTATAGAGATTAGACAGTATTATTCTAGCGCGGGGGCGGGGGGGGGGCGGTGGTGGTAGCGGCCCAGCCCCCAGCCTCGCCCGGCTGGGCAATCTAGGCGAGGCCGGAGGCTCTGCACGGGACTAGGCCTCGACACCCCATTCTTGTTAGAGTCGATATACCCAGCGTTGCCCGGGGGAAAAATACATTTAAAAACTTCTGAAAACTTTAAAACATAACATAGCAATGAAAATAAAACTCAGTAAATTAAAATAAACCCGAGCGCGCCACGAATCGATTCTTAAAATAGACTGTACAAATAGTTATTAAGCTGGGTGAGTGTACTGACAGTCTATGATGTAGACTGTAGCCTGGTTAAGCTGGGTGAGTGTACTGGCAGTCAGTAATGTAGACTGTACAAATTGTTATTAAGCTGGGTGAGTGTACCTGCAGACTGTAGCCTGGTTATTAAGTAAAGTAGCAGGTACCACCACAGTCAGTATGCACTGCTGTAATCATAGCAGGTACCACCACAGCAGTATGCACTGCTGTAATCATAGCAGGTACCACCACAGCAGTATGCACTGCTGTAATAGCAGGTACCACCACCACTGTATGTACTGCTGTCATCATAGCAGGTACCACCACAACAGTATGTACTGCTGTCATAGCAGGTACCATCACAGTATGTGCTGCTGTCATCATTGCAGGTACCAGCACAGTATGTACTGCTGTCATCAGAGCAGGTAACACCACAGTCAGTATGCACTGCTGTAATCATAGCAGGAACCACCACAGTCACTATGCACTGCTGTAATAGCAGGTCCCACCACCACTGTATGTACTGCTGCCATCATAGCAGGTACCACAGTATGTACTGCTGTCATAGCAGGTACCACCACAGTATGTACTGCTGTCATAGCAGGTACCACCACAGTATGTGCTGCTGTCATCATTGCAGGTACCAGCACAGTATGTACTGCTGTCATCAGAGCAGGTAACACCACAGTCAGTATGCACTGCTGTAATCATGGCAGGTTCCACCACCACAGTATGCACTGCTGTGATCATAGCAGGTACCACCACAGCAGTATGCACTGCTGTATTCATAGCATGTACCACCACAGTCAGTATGCACTGCTGTAATCATAGCAGGAACCACCACAGTCACTATGCACTCCTGTCGTGAAAGCAGGTCCCACCACAGTATGCACAGCTGTCGTCATAGGATACCACCACAATCAGTATCCACTGCTGTAATCATAGGTACCACCACAGTCAGTATGCACTGCTGTAGTCATAGCAGGTGCCATCACTGTCAGTATGCACTGCTGTAGTGATAGCAGGTACCACCTCAGCCGGTATGCACTGCTGTAGTGATAGTAGATACTGCTATCGAGTTGGTAGATACTGCGAAATCGAGTTAGTAGATACTAAAACAGTCAGTATATACCATTACAGCTCGGTCAATACTGCTACAGTCAGCATATACTACTATACAGTCAGTACATACTAATACGGTGAGTAGCTATTAGAGTCTGTAGATACTACTATAGAGTGAGTAGATCTTGCTATAGAGTTAGTAGTTACTACTATAGTCAGTGGATACTACTATAGTCAGTGGATACTACTGTAATAACAGCCATGGAGGGCTCACGTGGTGATTGGCTTGCCGGTCCCGCTTTGTAGCCAATAAAGGGGCGAGCCAAGGAGCATGGCCTCGGCGTGATCACGGCATGAGCACGGCATGTTAGCAGGGGTGATTGGCCTGGCCAATCGGGGCCTCAGCTAATGGGAAGCCGGATCAGAGGCGTGGTCCCGGGATTGACGGGGAACCATCTGGAACGGTCAACGCTGACTACGGAGGATTGGCTCAGGGGTACCACGTGACCCAGGGATTAAGAGGAGGAGAGAGGAGTCCGGGAGCAGACCTGGGAACGAAAAGAGCAGGAGTCACGCGCGTACGGGGCTCTGGGTGCCACGTGCGCGGTGGGGACTTAGCTGGCAGTCTGCCCGCTTTCCGTTGTCTGTCAGCAACGGGGAGTGTGTGTGTGTAACTGTGGAAGTTGGAAAATAAAAGGACTGATTCCGGAAGCCGTCTCGAGAAGGTTTATTGCATTGGTGTCAGAAGCTCTTCTGCGACCGTTTGGACGATCGTCAAGATGTCCAACCACCTCAGAAAGAAGAACCCGCCCGAGCCTCCATCGGAGGAAGAGGCCGAGACGGACGAAGATGATCTGTTGGGGGCTACGGCTCCTCTGCCGCCGGCTGCTACTGGTCTCCTCGACGCCTCTCAGCGTCGACTGGGAGAAGATACGACCACCTCAGGGACGAAGGACGGATGGCGGCTGATGGCGGAGCAGATCGAGTCGTTACGCGCCATTCTGCTGAGTCTGGTGACCGCGGTGGCGTCCTCACCAGCCGTGGGTCGCCAGATAGCGGATCAGCTCGACGCCGCGGATAGAGGTCCTACACACGAATCGGCGTCCGCCATTGCTCCTGCTACGCGGGAGGAGGCCGACGTTTTGGGCGGGGCGGCAGCACCGGAGCCGTTTGGCGCCATTTTGGGCGCGCCTGCCGCCACGCGGCCGCCGGACGCCATTTTGCTTGCGACGGGTGGAGCGCGGGATCCGAAGTCGGAGACGCCCGCGGCGCACGCCTGCCACCGCGCGCACACCGTGTGTGTGTACACAGTTTGTATACAGGGGCCGTCCATAAATGACGTCACGCGATTTTGGACGATTTTGACCCCCCCCCCCCACTCCGTCACACGACGTCACAAAAAGTCAGACCCCCCCCTCAAATATGACGTCACAAAGCTCTGCCCACCCCCCCCAAAAAACATGCTTCAAATCGCTTTAAATTATTGTCATCGTAGTGCGTATTTAAAGTGGCGCTACACTCTGATGTTGTAAGAGAAAACATTTATTAAAAAGTCTTTAATGAAGTCGAACGTGTTTATATTTATTTAAGTTGCGCATTTTGATGTGACGTCACATTTATCACCCCCCCCCCCCACTATCGCCCATCGTCACACATCGTCACAAATGTCTGACCGTCCCCTCCCCAGTTGCGTGACGTCATTTATGGACGGCCCCACACACTGTTTACACAGTTTGTACACACACACACTGTATACACAGTTTGTACACACACACAGTGTATACACAGTTTGTACACACACACACTGTATACACAGTTTGTACACACACACACTGTATACACAGTTTGTACACACAGTGTTCAAGTTGTTGAGCTCGCGCACCCAAAGGGTCAATGTTCAATAGAGGGATCAATGGAATAGGAATCCTAATGAACTTCAACTGTAACCCCGCTCTCTGACGTCACCACTGCATTACCTCATCGGCGTGAGGGGGAGGTGTACCCCGCTAGTGACGTCATGTCACCTGCTGCCGCGTGACGTCACGAGACACCAGGAAGCTGCCGGTCTCCGCGCGCGCGCTCACTGAGATCTGAGGTGAGAAGTTCACATCGTGGTGGTTGTTGTTGTTGTTGTGGTTGTTGTTGTGGTGGTTGTTGTTGTTGTTTACCCAGGTAGAGCCTCGCTCCTCTCGTAGGGATATCAATTGAGTAGCAGCGAGGATGGAATCGATGTCCAGGCTGGAACATTACAACGCGGGGCCTAGCCATGCGGGGCCTTGCCTCCTGCCCTCGCCTGATTGCATTTGCTTTAATTCTCTGCTCAAGTTTAATTTGTCTTCATCTGGCTCACTACTCTGAAACTTTGTTTCTTTTAAGTATTTCGTTTTTTTTATTTTCCTACCAGGCCAAGCCCACTTGAGCTGCTATACTGCTCTTGTTTTCAGAAGCGACCAGCCCACAACAAAGTGGCTTATCAACGTGTGGAAATGTCTGTCGGTCAAATACTCTAAACGCGTGGTGATGTTGACTCTAAATGTGGAGGGGAAAACCCGAGGAAATTCCACGCGACCACGGGGAGAGAGAGAGAGACACGCAAATTCCAAATATACAGGAGGGGTCGGGATCGAACCCACCACCTCCTGTATTCCAGGAGAGGCAGTTAACATCTCCCAGCCACCATGGTGCACACTCGAGTACATGACCACAATGAGTCTCAGCACTCCAATTCAGGAGCGTTCTGCCGGGTTGGTTTTGCTGATGCACCCTTTAGACCGATGAACAACTATTTTAATGATAATTGTTTTTTTTACCCTTTTATCTGGCAACAAAACTGACTCCATTTTTACGAGGAATCATGTTTGCATAGACCACAATACCTGCAGTCATAATGCAAACAAAAAACATAACTCTGATAATGTATGCACTGTCCTTGAAGTTGATTGGTCCACACCCGAGACAGCGTTCCTTAGAGCCTAGTCTCTCTCTCTCTGATGGTGCATTGTCTTTGAGTTGTGCGCCTTTTGGCGTCATCTGGTCCAACACCATGTGAGACTAGGCTCTAAGGAAAGCCGTCTCGGGTGTGGACCAATCTACTTTAAGGACAGTGCATACATTATCAGAGTTATGTTTTTTGTTTGCATTATCACTGCAGGTATTGTGGTCTATGCAAACATGATTCCTCGTAAAAAAAACGAGTCAGTTTTGTTGCCAGATAAAAGGGTAAAAAAATACAATTATATTTTTTTATGGCAAATGAGATTCCAATGGTGTCAACTATTTTTATATTACCAATCAAGGCTCACAGAGCTGTTAGATCTTTTGTCAGAAGCCACCTGGCCATAGATGATAGCTCAACGAAATGGCTTTTCACGTGGAAGATTGTAGCAGCCAAATAATCTAAATGCATGTTACTAAATGTGGAGGGGAAAATCGAAGGACCCAGAGAAAAAATAATCCGAGTGAGCGAGTGTACTCATTTGTGTTAGTGTACTCCTTGAGCGTGCTCTGCGTGCGTGGGTTCGATTCCAACCCTGACGCATTTATAATTGCAGTTTACATTTTTTAAATTTTTATTTCTCTCCCTGTAGTGGCATTGATTTTTCTCCACATTTAGAAACATGCGTTTTGAGAATTTTGCTGCAATACATTTCCATATTATAACCCACTAAGTTGAGCTATCATTTGTGTCCAGGTCGATTCTGAAAAAGAGCTATGCAGCTCAGATGGCCTCACCTGGTAAAATAAAAAATATTGTACTGTGTTTGAGGGTTTTTCAATTTAATTTCTCATTTAGCAGTTAAAGATTATGTTTCAGGAGGGTCCTGCATTCGACTGTTTGACCACCACCAAATATATTTTGAGTTTAGGTTTGGAAGAAAAACGGAAAACCCAGTGGAACACCAATGCCGACGGTGACGGCCGACGCCAGGATAGCGGCCACGGGCTTGAAGCGAGGGCAACCCGGCTCTTGTCCCAAGAAAGGAATCCGCTCCCCGCTGCCCTCCACGGTGGCTGCACGCTGAGCCCCAACTTTCCCAGGAGGTCGGTACCTGCAATACACTCGTGGCATAACACGCTCGACACGTATAACTCCTGGTTACACACCTGGGGTCCGAGGCGACCCTTAAGGGTGACCCTCCCCAGCAGTCCCATCCCACTTCCACTTGCAGTTTGCAGCGCACGATCCGGGGCCTGTAGGCGGCCCACGTCAACCCCGACCACGCTGCCGTGTGTTGCACTCACGAGTGACGTTACTGCCCCCGTGTCCAGCAGAATCTGGGTACGCCACCTGTTCACCTGCCCTTCCACGAGCGACGTGGCCCCCATTATTCGTGCCACCAGCTCCCACAGCCAGTCACCCGCAGTCGCCGCATTCTGGGGTGTTGTTGTCGGCATCTGCGTGGGGGTCATTCGCTCACCATTATCACGTCAGTTTATTTGTGTTGGGGCCACGTCAATTGCACCCCTCCGTGGTCAACCTCTTTAGGGAGGCCTTGGTTTCGATTTAAAGCTTTCGTGACTGCGGGGATTCATCTTCTTGGTTCTTTCGGTAAAGTCACGTAGAAGGGAAGTAATAAAATAATACAAATAAAACATAATAAAATAATTCTCACGACGTTTCGGCCACAACGCAAGCAGCCGTCCTCAGGTGAAGAACATGTCTGTCGATAAGACAGAGTCTAAATGACACGTCTTAGGCTTGGAGTGTCTATTTAAGCTGTGAGGGAGGAGGAAGAGAGCCTTGACAAAAGAATTTGCATTTGAAGAGGAATTTAGCATATTTATGGGAAACGCAGGAATGCGAATAGTGCTAATTGTGAAATGCGTGGGAGGTGGGCGGGGGGTAATACAGTATATAATTTAATGTTGAGTTTGTCTATGGCAGCATATAGTACGGGTTAGACCTGTTTGATGTAAGGAAAAAAGTTTAGCTGGAAGCATATTATATTTTTTGCGACATAGAATTGTAATGTATTACTTACTGTTAGTAGCTCAGCTTATTAGAGAGTATATTTAGTATACTGATGATACTATGAAGTTTATACTTTAGTTTTTTACGTGGTTGTTTGGTTGCTGCAGCTGCATACTATTCACATTCCTTCCCTTTGTTGGTGCTGCCCCTGCCCCCTCCCTTTGATGCTGTTAATCCTGCATAATGCATGGGCATAATATGACTTTGAAAACCCCCCGCCCACCTCCCACGCATTTCACAATTAGCACTTCGCATTCCTGAATTTCCCATAAATATGCTAAATTCCTCTTCAAATGCAAATTCTTTTGTCAAGGCTCTCTTCCTCCTCCTTCACAGCTTAAATAGACACTCCAAGCCTAAGACGTGTCATTTAGACTCTGTCTTATCGACAGACATGTTCTTCACCTGAGGACGGCTGCTTGCGTTGTGGCCGAAACGTCGTGAGAATTATTTTATTATGTTTTATTTTTATTATTTTATTACTTCCCTTCTACGTGACTTTACCGAAAGAACCAAGAAGAGGAGGCCTTGGTGTTTAACCCTGGTGCTTCTCTCGCACGGGCGATCTGGTGACAGTCTCTCACGAGATGCCCCCATTGGTCGCATAGATAGCACGCACGGGGAAGGGTGGTGGCTCCATAAGACGCCCCTTGCCCACTCCCCCTTACCATCCCGGTGCGCATTTGTTCGAGTTCTGCCTCTTATTGAGATACTCGCCTGGTTAGCCCCCCGACCATGGAGCGTAGCCCTCCCACCTCGGACTGGACTATCTCCGCTGTGGACTGCAGCTTGGTCACATTCAGGTGTACTTGGGTTACCTTCCCGCATACTTGGGTTACCTCCTCGCGTACTTGGGTCTCCTGGCCTGTGATATCTCCTATGCTGGTCTGTATCCCTGCCACCCATCCTGGGGTTGTCTCACGGGATCCCGGAGGCTCCCTCGTCCCCCCCCCTCACCTCCTCCTCTGGAAGAAGACTTGCAATGGTGCTATCCCGTTCCAGCCGTCGGAATTCCGCACGCTCGCGAGCAAATCTCTCACACGCACACGTGGGCGTGCTCGGCAACGGTGTTAGATGGGGGATATGGGCAGTTCGCATCTGGCTGCCACCCCGTTGTGCTTGTCAGATACTGCTGAACTTTCTCGGTGGCGAGGTCATCGATGATCTCGGCAGTGTATCCCGGGCGTGCGCTCTGTGTTCGCAAGCGTGATTTATTTTCGTGTGCGCTCACGGAGATCTGAAGTGAGAAGTTCACATCGTGGTTATTGTTGTCGTGGTGGTAGTTGTTGTTTACCCAGGTAGAGCCTCGCTCCTTCTCTGTCTTGTAGGGAGGCCGCTTTGGATTGCACCACTATTCGATTTCACATTAACATGCTAATTTATTACATTAACATCACTAGCCCCCGGCCACTTCTTTATGACCCTTGGGCTACACCCATTTCAAACTTTTACAACAGTCTGCCTCAGCAGCAGACCATGCATTTTCTATCAGAGTGTTTTTGTTTGCATTCTGACCACAAGTATTGTGGTTAATGCACACATGATTCCTTGTAAAAGGTTTCAGTTTGGTGTTTTAACATCTTAACACCTGTTTCGTTGCCAGAAAAATGGGGAAAACCTATTCTCATATTTTGGTACTGGCAACGGTCCCATGATAAAATATTGCAGTATATTAGAGGTGAGCCGTGCGTGTGTAGAAAGGACAGTAAGGAGCCGGAAGTTAATGAATTTTGTGGCAAAAATGCAGGCCTGATAATATGTAAGGATAATGTGGTAAATGAGAAAAATATAGCAGCAGCGGGGTGTTGGAGTATACAGGTGTTACAGGTGTTGAAGGTGAACAGGTAAGCTAAAAATTGTGTGAAAAACATAATAACTTTCCCTTGAGTACGCATGGAATTTTTGATGTGTGTATGTTTCAAATTGTTGGCGCAATTTGGTTCTCAAAAAAACACACAGAGTGCTTCATTTATATACATTTATACTCATCTTGGAATGTTTTGTATACGGTTTCTCCACATTTATTTCAGTAATTTAGTTTATTGGGAATACAGTACAGTACTTATTTAAATTGTGGTGTATATTTTAGTTGCCGTTAACCTCACCCCATTATTTAGGTAAGGCTTTAGTATTGGACATCGGCATTTTAGCTTTCGCACGGCACTTTTCAAGAATGTAACCTCCGCGCTATTCAAGGGGCTGCTGTATTTTCTGTCCATCAGCTATAGCACAGGAGTACGGATTTCAGCAGAAACTAGATTTCTGCTTTCTTGGTGTAATTACGGCCTATAATACCATAAAGAGGCTTGGGGTTTTGGATTGTTTTTTGTTTTCGATATCTCCGCCTCTGCTCACATTCGTTGAGGATTTTTATGATTTTTGGATGGCCCATCTAAAGCTGCGTGACCAGGAGTCTGATCCCTTTCCTGTTTAATTTGGCTTGTGGCTGAAATTCCCTCTGGCCCCATGCATTACATTACGTAGCATTTTCAAATAATTGTGTTTTGAGAAGCTCGCAATGGCCTTATAAAAAATGCATTTCATACAGTAACAATGATACGCTAATCGATGCCTGGTTATAGTCAAAGGATTGTCCCCTGCTGGTCAACCATGTTACGCATGTTGATGATCTGGTCATGGCTACTCAATGATATTGAGTTGGAGAATCGTGTTCTGTACCTGGAGAATTCCATGACAAAATGGGGCCTTGCATATGTTCTACAAAAGATCACCTCCCTGGGAAAATCTTGACTTAAAGCTTTCGTAACTGCAGGAATTCATATTCTTTGGGTCTTTCGGTTAAGTGACGTGACTTTACCGAAAGACCCAAAGAACACCTCCCTGGGAATTTAATGTCATTCAACACTGCACCTGCTCAGCTCTCCATGAATAATCAGGTCGTTCTACACGTGGTGGAGGAGCTCCTATAACTGGTTAATGTGTTCACGACCAGCTCTGGTTTGGCATCTAAAGTCTCACTTCAAATTAGTCTAGCAGCATTCTTTCATTAGGCTCTGGAACACTATGTGGAAGCTGCCTGGACTTTTTTACATACAAAGCTGTGAGTGTCCATTGCAAAGGTCTAGTCCATTGCAAAGGTCTCGTCAAAAAAACAGGCAATAGTCTACATTATAGACTGCCAATACACTCACCGAGGTTAAGAACCAGGCTACAGTCTACATTATAGACTGCCAGTATGCTCACCGAGGTTAAGAACCAGGCTACAGTCTACATTAGTCGTTTTTTTTTCTTTTATTCACTTTATTTGTATTATTATTTTCTATCTACGTGACTTTACCGAAATAACCAAAGAATATTAATTCCTGCAGTCACGAAAGTTTTAAGTCAAAATGTAACCACCTTTTTACCATGCAAGTGTATGAACATGTAAAGTTTGTATTTGCTGTCAAGTATATTGACTCGATTGAACATCGAGGTTAAATCATAATAATAGTTTATTTTAGTTTTGCTTTGGAAATTTTCATAAGAATGGAAACAGTCAGGAAATTAACACAGTACATATGCAGCTGAAGTTAAATCTGTTCATCCTCGCATTCAAGCTCATCTGAGCCTGGCTTCACACCTCTAAGTCGCAAATGAACATTAATTTATACATTTCTGCATAATACAAATAGTATTCTTTTCAACAGCCTTTGCTATGTTAACAAATTTTTCTTAAATATTCCTGTCGTAGCTAGACAACCGAAATTGTGTGCTTGGAGTTTTTGGTAAACATTAATTTTGAAGACACGAGGGTGTCCAGGCATATTAATGACCATTTGCCCTCGCATTGTGTGCCTTAACAGCCCGTGTGATGAATTGGGGAATCTCTTTCACTATATCATGGAAATATGAATATGTATAGATGTGTAAGTCATGTGTGACTGTGTATATATGCATTCCTCTGTGCCTCAATACTCACATAGATGGTGCGGACATGCTTTTCTGTTTGCAGCTGACGCTCTGCAGAATTGGCCTGATGGAGCAAAGGCACTCAGCGCAGCTCAGTACAAGAAGGAAACAATGCGACCAGCATGCAAACAGCACGGATTGTACTGGAAAATTGACACAGCACCAGAGAACACACACAGGAGAGAAACCTTTTAAGTGCACTCTGTGTGGGAAGGCGTTTGCAAAGTCATCAAATCTTAAGACCCACCAGAGAACACACACAGGAAAGAAACCTTTCAAGTGCACTGTGTGTGAGAAGGCGTTTGCACAGTCATCACATCTTCAAAGACACCAGAGAACACACACAGGAGAGAAACCCTTCAAGTGCACTGTGTGTGAGAAGGCATTTTCATGGTCGTCATATCTTCAGACCCACCAAAGAACACACACAGGAGAGAAACCTTTTAAGTTCAGTGTGTGTGGGAAGGCGTTTGCAAAGTCATCAACTCTTCAGACCCACCAGAGAACACACACAGGAGATAACCCCTTCAAGTGCAGTGTGTGTGGAAAGGCATTTTTTGATTCATCTACTCTTAAACAACACCAGAGAACACACACAGGAGAGAAACCTTTTAAGTGCAGTGTGTGTGGGAAGGCGTTTGCAAAGTCATCAATTCTTAAATCACACCAGAGAACACACACAGGAGAGAAACCTTTCAAGTGCACTGTGTGTGAGAAGGCGTTTGCACAGGCGTCCATTCTTAAATCACACCAGAGAACACACACAGGAGATAAACCTTTTAAGTGCACTCTGTGTGGGAAGGCATTTGCAAAGTCATCAAATCTTAAGACCCACCAGAGAACACACACAGGAGAGAAACCTTTTAAGTGCAGTGTTTGTAAAAAGGTGTTTGCACAGTCATCCATTCTTAAATCACACCAGAGAACACACACAGGAGAGAAACCTTTTAAGTGCACTCTGTGTGGGAAGGCGTTTGCAATGTCATCAAATCTTAAGATCCACCAGAAAACACACACAGGAGAGAAACCTTTTAAGTGCACTCTGTGTGGGAAGGCGTTTGCAAAGTCATCAAATCTTCAAACCCACCAGAGAACACACACAGGAGATAAGCCCTTCAAGTGCAATGTGTGTGGGAAAGCATTTTTTGATTCATCTACTTTTAAACAACACCAGAGAACACACACAGGAAAGAAACCTTTCAAGTGCACTGTGTGTGAGAAGGCGTTTGCACGGTCACCAGATCTTCAAAGACACCAGAGAACACACACAGGAAAGAAACCTTTCAAGTGCACTGTGTGTGAGAAGGCGTTTGCACAGTCATCACATCTTCAAAGACACCAGAGAACACACACAGGAGAGAAACCCTTCAAGTGCACTGTGTGTGAGAAGGCATTTTCATGGTCGTCATATCTTCAGACCCACCAAAGAACACACACAGGAGAGAAACCTTTTAAGTGCAGTGTGTGTGGGAAGGCGTTTGCAAAGTCATCAATTCTTAAATCACACCAGAGAACACACACAGGAGAGAAACCTTTCAAGTGCACTGTGTGTGAGAAGGCGTTTGCATGGTCGTTTATTCTTAAATCACACCAGAGAACACACACAGGAGAGAAACCCTTCAAGTGCACTGTGTGTGAGAAGGCATTTTCATTGTCATCATATCTTCAGACCCACCAGAGAACACACACAGGAGATAAACCCTTCAAGTGCAGTGTGTGTGGGAAGACATTTTTAGATTCATCTGCTCTTAAACAACACCAGAGAACACACACAGGAGAGAAACATTTTAAGTGCATTCTGTGTGGGAAGGCGTATGCAAATTCATCAAATCTTCAGTCCCACCAGAGAATACACACAGGAGATAAACCCTTCAAGTGCAGTGTGTGTGAGAAGGCATTTTCAGATTCATCTACTCTTAGAAGACATCAGACAACACACACAGGAGAGAAACTCTTCAATTGCAGTGTTTGTGGGAAAGCGTTTGCACATTCATCAAATCTTAAAAAACACCAGAGATCACACACGCATCAGAAAATCCACAAGAAGTGTAATCTGAAATCAGCTTGTGAAAGTCAAAGTGCTGCAATGACCCCATTGTTCATGAAACAAGAACCAGTAGACAATTCCAGCCTGGACACTTTGAAAGGTATCAAGGTGAAATATGAAGAGGCGAAAGTGAAATGTGAAGAAGTAACATTGAAGAGCGTAGAAGTGAAGGTTAAATTTGAAGATTCAACTCCAAAATCGGACCTTCACATAGATGGAGGCAGTGTGAAGCAGGAACTAAATTCTGACTGTGAGGCAGTGCGAGGCAACTCCCAGGAGTTTGTGGATGTGGAGGTGTGGGTGGACTTCTTAGACAATACAAAGTCAAATGGAGACCAGGTAGATGTGCAAGCTTGAGACAATTAAGCTCCAATGGATGCACCTTTGTCACAGGCCTTTCTAATGAATATAATGTGAAGTTGAACACTCAATTTCTAGGTTCAAACTGCAGTGTAAGAGTGGCCAGTATTTGTGGATCTGTGGGTTGGGTCATTCTCGAATCCGGGAGCGACTCATGTGTTTTCTAACATATCTCATCTTAGACACTCGAAGGGTGCCCATAATGGGCATCTGCCCCTGTGTGCCACAAGGTGACCGTTCACTGGCTTGCATGTGGATATGAGTTTGTAAGTCGGGGGCGATGATTGATATACCAGTCGGATTTGAACCTTGAACCTCTGCAACAAATAGAGAATGTACTACTACTTGGCTTCCCTCTATGAGAGTGCTGCACATATAGGCCTCATCTCGTCAGATCAACTTGTAAATACGTTGCAACGTGACGCAGTACATTTCAGTATAGTAATAAAATGTTGCCAATGTGCCCTTTGATTATTTTGAATCGTAATTGAAAGAATACCCGTCTGATTTTGTACGTACATACAACATTTTGTGTATTAATGTCAAACATGGAATATGTGCTGTCAGGACAAAGTATCTGTTTTGGTGGTAACCTGTACAAAAACTCAAGTGAGAGCTGTTATTTTTGTGATACGAGTCAAAGGGTATTTTTGTGAATCAGGACGCATCTGACTGGGGCAACTCATTGTCTTTGAAATCGGGAGCATAGTCGGATCATTCATCAGTTAAGGTATGCCACTTATAAGTTACGTATAGGAGATACATTCTCAACAACACTAATTATCATTTTGTACTACGTATATAAATTTTGTCGAACTGAGACTTGAAATGGACCTTGCTGATGAACATCAGTTGAAGCAAAGCCCGACTGTTGTTGAGACATTGTACACCAAAACCAGTCCACAGGTGGCTTGTACTGAACACATGCATTCCTAGAAGGCCATGGTATTTATAGTTTGTGTAAGACATTCCTTTGTTTCGTGTAGAGAACGTTGAATGAAAGATGTCTGCCGATCTGTTTTTTTCGCAAGGAGGTACTTTAAAGAGCACATTTGATGGCATCGTGGATTTTTGTTACTGATTTGTATTCTAGCCTAGGTTTTATTAAATTTTTACTTTCATTTAAATAAAACTTTATATATGTGTCCATTGATATCCCACCTTGTTTTTCACATATTTAAATATGTAGAAGCTCCCTCTGAAGACGTCACCTCAAATTAACGAGTGGGTTACGTCAGGGCCTCCCCCTCTCTCTGGCTTGTGATGTCACCAAGAGCAGAACTCGCCTCCACGGAATCTAACGACTGCACTGTCTTGGAATGCATTTGTAACGGGTTCCGGAGACACTTGTAGATGTAACTTCTTTATTACAATACAACACTCCAACAGTCCTGATACTCTGTTACAGCCTAGGTACACAGCCTAGCTACACAGCCTAGATACACTACTCTGGCTACGCTCTGGACTCGCCCTCACAAGGTCGTAGCGTCGAGAGTTCCAGAGTCCCAGCGCTGGCTCTCACAGCATCCCAGGGTCTTCAGATGGCTGGTCGTGGGTCTTGGGTCTTGAGTTACAACTGGGCCCCGATCGTCCAGGGAGCTCTCCTTTTATGCCTGGTCCGACGAGGGGTGGGGCCGTGTGCGCCACCAGACATCCCACAGAGCACACACAGCCCGCCCCCCCCCGTTGGCGGCGCCAAAAAGGCTTAAGCGCCTGGGAACCCAACGCCTGGCGCCCAAAGGCTTAAAAGCATCTGGACCCCCTGGGAACACCCGGATGTGTTTGTGTTGGAGCCGGCGGGATGGCGCGGTCGCTGCGCCGCCTCTCTCCCTCCTGCCTCCGCCTGTGAGCGACGCATCTCGCCCAGGATGGAGACGGTGGCGTGGAGCAGCTCGGTGAGGCGAAGCAGCGTTTCCTCCATTGTTGCTCCCGACGCTGGAGGAGGATCGGCAGGTGTGGTGGACGCCTGCTCAGCCGGCGGTGCGGCGTCGTTGTCGGCCCGAGTTGGCTGCCCCGTCGCTGCTTGCTCCTCAACATCGCCGTCAGGACTGAAGGTACGTGGCTTACTTCTTGTCTCCATTGCCACCTCTGACGCCAAATGTAACGGGTTCCGGAGACACTTGTAGATGTAACTTCTTTATTACAATACAACACTCCAACAGTCCTGATACTCTGTTACAGCCTAGGTACACAGCCTAGCTACACAGCCTAGATACTCTACTCTGGCTACGCTCTGGACTCGCCCTCACAAGGTCGTAGCGTCGGGAGTTCCAGAGTCCCAGCGCTGGCTCTCACAGCATCCCAGGGTCTTCAGATGGCTGGTCGTGGGTCTTGGGTCTTGAGTTACAACTGGGCCCCGATCGTCCAGGGAGCTCTCCTTTTATGCCTGGTCCGACGAGGGGTGGGGCCGTGTGCGCCACCAGACATCCCACAGAGCACACACAGCCCCCCCCCCCCCCCCCCGTTGGCGGCGCCAAAAAGGCTTAAGCGCCTGGGAACCCAACGCCTGGCGCCCAAAGGCTTAAAAGCGTCTGGACCCCCTGGGAACCCAGTGCCTGGCGCCCAGAGGCTTACGCGTCTGGACCCACCTGGGAACCCAGAGCCTACAGCAGCCCCTCCCTTCTTATGTCACTACACATTTACACAGTAATCAAATCTTCACAACTGCCAGGGAACACACATTAAAAACCACTTAATGTACAATTGGAAGGCCTTTTGAATTGTCTTGAAACTGAAACACGTGTAAGGAGGTCTACAAGGAGCAGAGTCTGAGATTGACGTGTGAAATTTGAAGTTCCATAAGCCCATCGTTTGTGATGCAAGGACCCAATAAAGATGGCAGCTGGGAAACGTCACCATTCGTGAAGGTGACCTGTGAAGGCTCTAGGGTTTGACTTCCAGGTCACTAATGGAGCCCGAGACAAATCACATCCATTTGTGGATGTGGAGTTTTGGGAGGACTTTTCGGACAAGGTCGAGTAGAAGCAGACAGCATGTGTGACCATAAGTGTTGGGTAGACCTGTAACCAAAAGCATGAGACACGGTTTCCCAATGTTTATTTCAATTGTTAAATTTTTAGTTGATTTGTAATACAGTACGTATTTCAATTGTGATGTAAATTTTAGTTGACGTTTACCTAACGCCATTACTTGGGTAAGGCTTAAGTATTGAATATCGCGTTTTTAGCTGTCGCGCGGCATTTTCCAAGAACGTAACCTACGATATTCAAGGGGCGGCTGTATTTTCTGTCGATCGAGTACAGCAGGCCTATGGTACCCTAAATAGGCTTGGTGCTTTGGGTTCCTTGATTTCGATGTCTCTGCCTCTGCTCACATTCGTTGAGGATTTTTATGATTTTGGGCAGGCCTATCTAAAGGTGCGTGACCAGGAGTTGGAACCATTTCCTGTTCAACTCGGCTTGTGACAGAAATTCACTCTGCCCCAATGCATTTCATTTGTAATGTGAGGTTACACCTGGATGATGATGATTGGCTCTGCTGGCTTCAGCCCGCAACCAATGGGGAGTCGAGTTAGGGGCGTGGCCCTGGAGCCGTACATTAGCTTCGAGAAAGTTCCAGGGGTGTGGCTGAGGATTGGCTGCGGGGCATCACGTGGGCCAGGGATTAAAAGGGGCGGAGAAGCCACGTGGCTGGTGCCGTAGTCCGGAGCCTGCCACGTGGCGGGCCGCGGAAATCTCACGCTGTCAGCCAACAGCGTGAAGGAGCAAGGGAACTGGAGGAACGAATGTGGTGGAAGCTGTGAACGAAACTGAATAAAGAATTCTCAATTCACGATGTCGTCTCAATGGGGTTTATTACACATCACATAGCATCTTCAATAATTATGTAGTTTGAGAAGCTCACAATGGCCGTATAAATAAATTGGATTCGTCGCAGTTAAAAATAATACGCTTATCGATGACTGGTTATCGTTAAGGGATTATACTGGTAGGAACGAAGTGAACCAGCCTACAATAGATTATATCGTCCGATGTCCGATTACGTGTAGCAACATCGCCCCCTACTGCAAACACTTGGCAGGACCCTACAAAAACCTTTAGACTCAGTGAGGCTTTCCTGGCTAAACAAGTGTAACATTCCCTTATAATTCCCTGAGATAGTTTTAAATTAAAACATTTAAATTAAAAATTAAACTCACAGCGGCCTAAAGCCTACAGCTAGGCCTAAAACCTAGAACTAGGCCTCAAACTCTCCCTTCGTATCGTACCCCCGCCATTTCATTTTATTATAGCCATTCATTTGTTCGTTCCTACCAGCCCACCCCGCAGAGACCTGTTTCCCTGCTGGTCAGCCCTGTTGCATCTGCTGATGATCTGGTAATGGCTACTCAATGAGATGGCTGGCTGAGGTGCCAACTCTTGTTTTGCCGGACACACAGTAACAAGAACAACAACCGCCATTCGCCACTAAGTGGCGGTCACGTCACCATGGCGCTTGTGCCAGGCTATGTGCACGGGGTAGACCCCCAGGTGCCATGGGTCGACTAACTCAGTTGACTGGCCGATGCACCATCTGTACCCCCGACTGTGCCAACACACAGTGTACACACACA